GCGAGTTGTTGATGGTGATCTCTGGGCGAGAGTCCGACAAAAGACCACGGCCTTGGGTTTTCGACGTCGATCGCCTCGACTCCAATCGCGCTGCAGGGCTGCGCCTTCTCTGGGATTAGTTTGTAAAGGTTTGTACCATCGCGTCCCCTCGACTTGTGTGGGTATACTCAGAAGCCCCAGTGGAATTTTATGACGATAATTCAGAGTCTCAATGAATGGCCGGGGATACAAATCAGACTATTTATCCTCGAACCCCACCATGGAAGTAACCTCGACATCACATCGTAAGCTCATCTTGTCAGCACAACCTCGCTCATATACTGTCGGGATCGTGAGGCACAACGTCAGATGAGTGCACCTAATAAAAGCTCCTTCCGTTTCTACCACTCTTTGAATGTGAATTCCCCACGGTAGTGCTTGCAATATCGGTGGTACTTACAAGCATCTGAAACGCAACGCTGTCGCCCACATATTCCCGTCGGCGATATATTCAAGAAATCGTGGATGCGTACAGCGGAACGATAAATATGTGCAAACGACCTCGCCCATTTCGTTGCCATCCATACGACGAGTCTACAACGGTGTTCGTTCCATACGTTTCTTATACAGAGTTTGACACGGTGCATGCCGGTGTTTGACACGTCGTCTGTCATGATCCCTCGAGAACGCCGAGGCGCATAGTTGCCGAGGTAAACATAATCGCTTTCCTCCTACTGCGTTCTAGACTCCGCCCCGCAGCCCAATTTTCACACAAATGTTCTTGTAGTGAATACAGCTCCATCGCGATCCACGATCTAGCCGTCAAATTCTCAATTCAAATGTACGAGATATCACTCTTCTTCACGTTTCGTTTTCCTTCCGCTGAAGTACCTTCGTTTCAGGTTCTTAGTCCGACGAGGAATCTTCCTATCTCGTTACCAACTTTATAGCTGCTACTGGGTTATGAAGGTGATTGCGAAGATGCTGCGTTGACCCTCTTGCTATCTTTCTTCAGCGCAATAAAAGCTGACCCGAAACACTTCAATTGGCAACAGTGATTGGCGGCTTGCATCGCAATAAACTCAATCCACTTGGAGGTGCTCGAGGCGTATCTCTGCCATTCTGGTCGAAACAGTGTATTCAAGAAACATCGCGTCGGTGAGCATTCTCTCCATTTTCCTCCCTGTTCTCGATTATTTTCGGCCTTTCCGTCGAATTCTCCATGGGGCTCAGCAGTAACATTGATGAAATTCCAATCTCCGTGTCAAGATTGATGACCGTAGTTCTGTATTGACATTTTGAACGTGATGAGAATACCGACTTTTAAGCAGCACATCAGCGCTTGTTCCTGTCTCCGAGCACCTCGCCCTCGCCCCTCGCCTCTCTCCTACGCTATGACCACTATGGCTTCGCTTTCTAGCGCAGTGCCGCTCACGACGTGTAACCTTCCACACGAAGATCGGGCGCGCCTCATCCGTACCACACGAAAGATTGGTGAGGTAGTGGGCGAAACTCCGCTCGTGGTGGACATCTCATCCCTTGCGCCGGCCCAAAAGCCTCACGCAAAACTAAAACGCAGCAAACATACTTTTCGCTCCGAACCCTCGGAATCCGCACCGCCTCTTGTATCCGATACCCGGCCGTTGCTATACATCCGGGTTCCCGATCCTCTCCCAGCCGATCACGTACCCCCAACGCCAGCACCGTCGCCGACCTTGACCGTCGCGCTGAACATCCGCCCTGCCATGCACAAAGATGACGCCGCGCGCCGACGAAAGATGGCGAAGCTCGGGCGCACGCTCGGCGTACCCGTACCGCCGGAGCTCGTCTTTCCCCCCGAAAATCTAAACGACCGCTGCTATCGGCGCCTCACTTCGCGTACCGTGAAGACAGACCGCACCTCGCGAGTGGAGGCAAGGCGCCTGAGCAGCACCTCTGGAGCTTCGCGCACGACGCGGAAGCTCGCGGAGGAGAATTCGATTTCGCGCGGCTGGGTGTGGGTTGGGAAACGGGAGGAAATTCCGTCGGATGTCCGAGCTCGCATGCAGCGTTCGCGGATGGAGAGTGGCCTTCCGTTCGATTGGGTTTCCGTCGGCAGGCTTGAGGAGTTGCCCGAGGATGAGGAAGCCACGCCTCGGCAACATCCAGCCATACCAACAACTCGGAAGATGTACCGTAAAGAGACTGGATGGAGTGGGGAATGGGCGGGTGACGTGCAGAATATGGACGACGTTGTGCGACAACTGCGAGGCCTCAAAGCGAAGTAGCTATTTTTGGTACTTGACGGCAGGAGTTTGACTGTGCTGATTTACCATGAGGGAATCATTTCAAAATACTTGAGCTTGTTCTTTGGATTGTGAAAGGCTCGAACATGGAATGACTTGAGTCGCCAGACTCGCACGCTTTGTCCATGTTAGATGCCACAGCAACGGGATGCTCCTCTCTCGCATGTTACTCACAAACGCAAACACGGGCCGACCCGAGGAGGAGGAGGTCCCGAGTGAACAGCTTTGTGACCTTGGAAACCTCACAGAATGCTTTCTACGAGCCGATCATAAAAAAATCAAAAAAAAATGCAAAGAATAGTGTTTGAAACGCAGTATTTTTGGGGGAAACCGAGAGTCATCCCGAGTCATCCTTACATGTGAACTGTTCATTGAATCTTGGATGACTCGAGCAGCTGAGTCCAGCGTGGTTCAATTGTGGCCGCTTTGGCCATGTTAGGGATCAAAGTGACGAAGTCCGCAATCTTCTTCAAGCATCGGCTCCATCTCCTTACCTCGCGATGCATGACTGTTTCCACCTTCGAAACCTTTCGCGTATTAAATCCACGAAGATGCGGGTGAGCAAATACTGCCAGCCTGTCGGCTTTCCTCCGGCTCACAAAAAAAACAAGCACGTCGCGAACGCCGTCGTGGCTGGATCATTAGCAGACCTCCAATATCTTGCTTTGTCGATTGCAGGCTTCTCCCCCTCAGACGCCATTCTTTTCCTCCCAGCTTTTTTTGTCAATGTCGATTCGCTCGGATCCCCAAACCAGCGGAGCTTGATGCTCTGTTGATGCTTCCGCGGATCTCTGGCCATGCTTCTGGAGATGGCTTGATTTTCTCGATACTTACCGGGATTATTTGATCATTACCGATCCTCTTGAAAGGATGCGAGCATCCATCGGACACACTTCCCTCATTCTTGCTCTTGATAAGCATCCAGATACATCCAAAATCATTCGCTCGACACCTGGCGTTCGACGGATCCTTGTCTCGGCATGGAAATTCGTGCTTTATGACGACGAGGCCTTCGGCCAAGGAGGAGCCTTTGGTATCATCTCGGAGATTCTTTTCATCGTAACTGAGCGAAAGGATATGCGAGCCTTGGATGAAGTCGTGGAAGCCGTTGGAGGTAGCATGAAGGATCTAGCTTCCACAATCATTCGGCATTTTGCTAGCGCACGCGCGAGTCCGAATGCGTATCTGACGGGAGATTTTATTCGAGCTTGTTTTCCATTCTTGGCTGACAGCTCCGACGCCATTCATTCCTTACTGCCCTCCATGGGTTTTATTCCCATGGTCATAGCCATCGTATCCTCCCTCAACCCTACCGAGGCAGTCGACGCTGCGCAGTTGTGCGTCAACTATCTTCTCGTCCACTTGGAATCCCCTTCCGAAATCGCATTAGCGATGGAATCAGACCTCCTACGCGCCATAATTAACGTTGCAGCATCGATCAAGACAGACAAAGCCACGCTCTACCCATCCGTGAGGGATATGTTGGATAAACAACTACCCTGCTCTCTCGTGCACTATGTCGTCGTCTCGCAACTAAAGAAGTGCTTTCAAGCAGCAACGGAATTCGCAGCCAAATCCAGGATTCACGCGTCAGCATTTTCTACCAACTGGAAAGGTCTTGCGGCTATGATGAAGGCACGCCTTGAGTTTATAGATTCTTGGGAGGTACAGTTGAGGCCGTCGTTCAAGGCATGTGACAACCTGACCGTGAGTGCTCTCACGAGTTTACTGCACTCGTTTCTTGATGTCTCCCAGTGTGGAAGCATTGGCGTGAGACGCAGCTTCAAGTGCTGTGGTACTTGTCAAAGCGCCGACTATTGTTCCGAGAAGTGTCAGTCTGCAGATTGGGTTGCTGGGCATAGAGACGTGTGCCACAGACTATCATCTTTCAGACTCGGTATGCTCTTCGCTTCGCTTCGACTCAACTCCCTTAGCTGATATAATTCAGAAAACCCGGAGACCCTTACGACTCGCGGAAAATCCTTCATGCGGGCACTTCTCACCCACGATTATCGGCGTCTGATGCTCGACGTATGCATTCAGCAGGTCCTCTTCATGCACGAGCACCCCGGCGTGGAGTTCTTTACGCTGTTCTCGTACGTGTCCTGCGGCGATGTCATCCCTGAATTCCAGCCGCGAAGCAAGCTAGAGACGGAGGATTGGGCGTCTAGAACGCCCCTCGACTTTTTGCCCGCGGCGCGAGGGAGTGGGAGAATGGATTTGCATCTCATGGTTACGTTCGAAGGCCGCACATTTCGACCGCTCCTCTTCCCTATGCGCATAACGACAACCAAACTGCGTGACGGTTTGGTACGTGTTGCACAGCTGATACCCAAAGGCACGACGCCTGAGACGGCCGTTCCGCTCATCGAAAGAATTGTGGACCGCCTAGTGTTTGAAATTGAGAGAGACGAGATCCTTATGCATTAGTGTAAGCCATTTACATGTAATTCCTTCAATCATCATTCAAGCCCCATACGACATCTGTCCAAAGGTCTCGTTGTTTGTATTCGCATATATAGTGGAATTCTTTTATCCCTCCCTCAGACATTTCGACGAAATACGATTCTGTCGTATTTATGATGTCTGAGTTTCCCTCGTTGACCTTGGAGATCTGCAGTTGGCTCCACCGAACGACAGTTTGGCTTGAATGAACAGACTTCAATCACTAGACCGAAGGCACACGGAGAGGTCACCATTGACTTGATAGACGCGCTGAAACGAGCTGTCTACATCGCATTAATGGGGTAGTGGTAACCTGGGTCGTTGCCATTTGAGTGACGTAAGTCAAGCTCGACCCGCCGGGGGTTCGATTCCCTCTTAATGCATACATCCGGAACGCGTCTGTTCTGTTTTTGTTCAGTTCGCACCAAACCCCGGAAGTACCTCAATGCCAACCCCAATTAGGAAGGGTAAATCACTCTTCCTCACAATTTTTTTTTGTTCTGTAATATTTATTCCGATATAGACACTTAGGTATATATTGCTATGCTCCAAATGGTAATTTCCCCGGACGCAAACGGCCAGAGATATTCCATGTCCAAATTTCATGCCGATCAAAGATGAACACTGGCACAAGTGCAGAATAAGTAGAGCATGTTATTGACGCTTCTTTGGCTCACTTGAAACGCGTCTACAACCCACGTGATTCGTTAGTTGCGATTCCGGTACCGACGTGACTCGTTTGCTTTTTCTCTTTTCCTTCATGTCAAGCAGTCGTCGCCTGCGTTCAGCATCCAAGAATGAATCTTTCTCGAGAGCTTCTGTACCAACGCCGTCTCCAAATGCTTCTGCTACCTCGCAATCGTCCTCTGACGTGCAGCTCATAGCATCGGGCTCTTCGCGCCTCCCTGGTCTAAAAGCACCAGAACTCATTCTTCTGCGGCAAAAACAGCAGAAACTAGCCGCCAACGCCTCCACCATGCTTGCATCTCTCCCCAACTCCAGCCACAAGCTGCGCAACACACTCGAGGCGAGCCTGATCTTCGCGCAGCACGAGGCGGGCTCAGCGGTGTGCGTTGATCCCGCGGGGTGGGTGCTGACGTGTGCGCACTGCTTCGGCGACACGGAGGAAGAGTATCGTGAATCGTCCAAGCGGCGCTGGTTGCTGTTTTATGACGGGCGCGCGGTGCAGGCCGAGTGCCGCGCATGGGATTTGACGCGCGATTTGGCGCTGTTGAAGATTGTCGTGCTCGAGTCTGCAGCAGACACCGACGCTGTGCGGACATTCCCATTCATTCACCCCGCCGCGCACGCACCCACCAAGGGTACACCCATCATCTGTATCGGCCAGCCAGGCCAAGACGACCTCGAGTCCGTCTCCGCGCGACGCACGAAGTATCCTTTTATTGAGGTGTCGGAGGGGTCGATGTGCGGGATGGTAGAGGGTGCGGACCCGCAGGATAACTCGGAGATTGGGACGCTGATGCACGATGCGTGGACGTATTGGGGGCATTCAGGCGCGCCGCTGATTCATGCGGGGGAGGGAACGTTGGTTGGGCTTCATTCGTCTTGGGATGATCGGACGGCGATGAGGCATGGGGTGCCACATGCGGCTGTTGAGGCGTTTCTGGCGATTCACTTGAATGTTGTACAATCGGATTAATGAAAGTGTCTTTTGTTGCAAGTGGGTTCATCCGAGTAGCACGAGTGATTCGCTGCAGGTACACTCACGCCCTTCCCGAATGTATCTGTGCTCATTCGACCCGTCATTCAAAACTCAATTGCGTACACCCGCCGTCGGACATGCTCTGTCAAAGTTCGATTCGACGCAACCGATGAATTCATTCGAAATAAATGAACTGCTTTTCACCTACCTCTGTTATGCTGAGTTTCTTTGTTGAAAGCGATTGGAGTTTGACTGCGCTCGTGCAGGCTGGCTTCCGACGTAAGCTTTTTCTTTCGTAGTCCTTGTTTTGAAATGATTAGAAGTTCCCTTTGCCCCAAGGAGTCTTTCGATCCATTTTACAGCTGTTTGAAAAAGTAATGACACCCATCAAATTTTGATGATGAAGAACAGCTTTGATCCGCCGCATTGCCGCGCTCATATCTCACTCAGTTCATAACCCCTTACCTTGATTTTGGGCGCGTTCGACGCGCCTTTGAAAGCGCTTTCAGCACATATCCAACTCTCCTGGTCAAAGAGTGTTCTTCAAATTTCAAAATTCCCGCTGCCTGTTTTGAACGGGCACATCAAACAGCGCGTTCTCAGTCATTCCTTGGCCGATTCGGTTGACCTTGAGTGATTCTGAAAGGGAAATTGAGGCAATCATGTTAATGCCATCAAAATGTATGACACACATTATATGGGACTTCAAGAATGGAATTACTCTGCGATTTTCAAAGTTCATTGCTGAGGAATTATTTCACCATACAACCAAAATGTTAGATATTCCAACCCTATGCCTTGATATCAGCTTTCAAATAAATTCAGAACCATATCAATCGGCCTAGAATCGATCGAGTTCTAAGCCTTCCAAATTAGCATTGAAACCACCCGAGGCGAAATTGAGACCTCGAATTTCGTCAGACTTACCCACGGTGATGGGTATGGTTCAAAAGCCCCGCTTCGCGCCTCTCGAACGCGACCGGAACCATGCAAATCGGTGAGGAATTGACGGAGAATTGAGCTTGGAAATGTGGTGTGTTCAAGTTGCTCTTTCTTATTCTATTTTTAGGTAGTGCCATTACTTCTGCAAAGAGCTGTAAATACAATGCTGCTGTGATATCTTCTCCCGAAGAAACTCAAGCTGAGTCATGGACTCGAGAAATTGAGCAACAAATGTATGCTCGGGGTAGGTTTGCCGGGAATGGCGAGTTGAATTTTGGATTACAGCCGTTGCGAGTGTGCTCTAATACCTCTTTTCCAATGATGGGAATTGTGTGAACTTGGGGTCAGTGCAAAGCGGAGACCCTTACCATGAACTTCGGTCTAATGATAATTTACGCCGAATAGTTATAGACGTCATGATCCGAAGTGATCCGAGTCATCCGACGGACCTACACTTTCATCCCAAACGCTCTAGACGCTCTAACACAACGCCCAAAGCCTTTTCAATGGTTTTTTGTCTTCGCCTATCAACCCCCTCGCGAGACCGGACGTCTCTCACGGTCGTATCGCGTCGATCATCGGCAAAAGTCTATGACTCGCTTGTTCCCATTGTTCTCTTTGATATGCCACATGGTCTTTTGTGGGCGCCATAAATGGTGGTGGCGGCTATCCTGCACTCTGTTTCTCTCTTCCCGCTACGTCGACGAAGTCTGTGTCTTCCGCCGCCATGAATGAAACTGGCTATTCCTCTGCCAAGTCGCAGACGAAGCCCATGCCCTCCCACCCTCTTTTGAAGTCTTCACGCGGCCGCGTTCTCTGGCCAGACCAGCGGCCTATGCCCTCGGACAAGACGCGTATAAACCCTCTCGACGACCATCTGGACGACACTGGATTCCAGCTCGGCCGGTCGCGTCAGAGAACGAGCTCCGTTACGTCCATCGAAACGATACGACTCAAGGTCAAGGCCAGGGTGGCCGACGCGCTTCTAAAGCCTAAGCTGCCCCTGGACGATGCCAAGCGGAGTACCAGGAAGCGCACCCACTCGGCGACGTCCCCGGAGGTCGACGCAGATGCCGACTCAGGCGCGCTACAAACAGGCCCCCGCGTTCGACAAAGACGAGACTCGTCTAATTTCAACTCCGGCGCTGCTCTTCAGAGCTTCGACGAGCGGCTTGTTGGCACTGGCACTGGCACAGCAAAAGCCAAAATGCCGACAGGAGCGTCGTCGGCGCTGAGGAAGCTCAAGGAGAAGCTTACCCCTGCGCAGGCGACCGAAGTATGCGATGCTACCCGCGACCCTCGCTCTTCTCTCTCGACTAAACCTGCTCCCTCTGCTGTCCACGTCTCCAAAACGAAGAACAATATTGCGCTCGTCCCTCCACGCGAGCAACCGACGGGAGCCGCTACCATCCATTCCAAGCCCGTCGCTGACCTCCCACTCCCTCCGGCATTAAAGTCGCAACCTCTCCAATCCCTCTCCACCAATACCAACACCGAATTAAGCGAGTACAAGCGCCCGCCGCTGTCGCCACCCATCCGGCGCCCGATCCCCGGCGCGCGGCTGAACAAATACGGCTGCTACGAACTGCAGGCGAGCGAGTTTGAGCTCGCGGTTACTTTTCCTTCCAGCGAGCGATCAAACTTCGAGGTGTGGGATCAGGAGGACGAGTAAGTGGTGTCCCTCTCTCTTCACACTCCATTCGCCCTTCCCATTCCAACCCATTACTCCTTCTCTTCCCTGACCACTACTCCTTCTATTTCCCCATTTTCGCTCAAAGGACTACAAATTATATTGAAAACTAATCCTATCCCTCCATCCAGGCTCTTCCTCGTCGGGCCCCTCTCCCTCCATCTCACGCTGCGCGACCCTGCCAAGTGGGACGGCGTCCCCGTCTCACACCCAGACGTGTACGTGCTCGAAATCAAGTGCGGGAGCAAGGCCGTCGTGGACTCCTCCCACCCGTGGCCGTACGGCTCCGCTTCGAAGCACGACAATTACAAGTACAGCGTGGGCTACGAGGGCGCGAAGATGCGCAACCCCGTCGGGAAGGCGGTCCCGCCTGACCCGCGGCGGGGGATCACGATCGACACGCTGTGGATGCGTACCTATGCAGGCGGCACACACGCTACTCCTACCACTCCTCCCTCGAGCGCGACTGCGGCATACGACACGAGCACAACTACCACTCCCCTGAATGCGAATACCACCGCGCCGAACACAAATGCTAACAGTGCGAATCGGCGAGGATGGGAGATGCAATTTTTCGTGCCAATCGCAACGCGTCTCTTCGAGAAGCGCGAGACGCGCGCGTTCCAGGTGGAGGGCCTCATCTCCGTCTGGGGTGAGCAGCTCGCGACTCCGATGGCGACGATGAGCGTGTCGCATTTGATGAGGGAGCGCGAGATGGTCGTGCGGCGCTGAGGTGGATGTTAACGTGGGAGTCGGGGGCGGTCACGCTCGTGGATATGATTCTGGAGTTTGGAGGGTAGAACGGACGGACGGACGCCGGACTTGGGACTCGACTGGTAGTATCTTGCGCTCTGCTTTTACGCCACGTTTCTGTGTGTGCTCTGGTAGCTGTAGCACGGTAATTATGAATGTAATGACAATTACTTTACTTTAATTGGGTGTAGATTCATTCCACTAAAGGATTCACCACCTGGAGAGCACTGTTGTTTAGTTGCGAATAACTCAACTATATTAGACGACATTGTTAGTGTCGCACATTTCAATGTCGATTCGCAACGGAGAATCGATTAAATTTCAGGATACTTGCG